AGAAAAATCTATACAAATTCTTGAAATCAAGACACTCACAGGTATTTGTGCTTTTTAAAACTCAGAAATCTCTGCTTTAATTCATCAAACATGTTCATCCCAGCACCAGATTTGGGCACATATTGTTGCTCTTTAAAGCTAGTAAATTCTTCTTCTACTCCTAACTGGGTGTCCTTAACTTCAGCCAATCTAATCTGTAGACAATCAAAGATCAGAAAAGGGGAGCAAAGGACGAAAGAAAATACAATCTGGGTATTCGAAAAGAGGGAACCCATGAAAGTCCGGACCTGGTTTGAAGCAACCCAAATTCTTGGAAAACCAGAGAAGGGGTTAGGGAGGGCAGAGAAGCGCGAGAGCGGATATGGGGTCGGAGATGATCCGTAAGCTGCCATTGATGAGACTACTGACCGAGCTTTTGAGCCTGAATTGATGTTTAATTCAAAGGATTAGAAATCATGGTTTGAAGGTGAAGTTGCACGAACAATACATGGTAACATAATAGAGTTGACTTACGAATTAGCGAGACCATCTCTCTTCCCGCCTTAGAATTTAGCTGTTCAGTTCGGGCACGATGGCAATAATAATGCTACAATACAATTATAGTATAGTAGTCGCAGGATAGAAGATGAGAAGATAAATATGTGAACAAATTGAGAGATGAGGTCGTCGACCTACACAATCCGTGCTTATCCAAACAAAGGTGAAGGACAAGTAATTATCCAATTTTTTTGAGTTAAAATGTTAATTTAATCCCTTAACTTTTAAATTTATATCACAACTATCTCTCAACTTGAAAATTTATTAAAATTATCCTTGTATTTTAATTTTTAGTACTAAAAAATTTCTTTAATTAACATAAGTTTCACATGCTCGTTATTTTACTATAAAAACAATTCTTTTAAATGCTAATAATATGTAAAATCAAATAGTTATATTTTGATATTGTAATATATTTTCATTTATATATCAAATTGATATATAATTAAAATTAAAAAACTACAATGGTATTTTAATCGAAACTCAAAAACTAAGTTAATACTTGTTTTTAAAGTTTAGGAACTAATTTGATACAATTTCAAAGCTTGAGGATTAATTTAGTGTTAAAAATTAAAATTTAAGGAAAATTTTGGTATTGTATAAAGTTAAAGGATAATTTTAATAAAAATCTAAAAATTAAGGTACTAAATTAATATTTTAACCAAATATTTTATGTCGTCCCACATCCTACTTTAGCCCATGAAGGCCATGATGTTGTCATAACCTTACTCAACAAAAATCTCACTTGTACAACACTTAACCGTAAGCGGTGTAATACTAATCTTTTATTTTTAAAAAAATAAGAGATTTTAAATTTAAATAGTAAATATATATATGAGATAAAATGTAAATAAAGGGATGAAATATGATTATAAAATAAAACAAAAACTTATGCTATATGGCTATTACTAGCATTACTAGCATAAGTTAATCCATTCCCATTTTTGTCCAAACCAACTACAGCAATATAGTCCACAACCACAAAAATATGTGATTATGGTGTTTTGCAATATTAATGATAAAATACTATATATTAGATAAAGGAACCTTTTCAATAAAACACCTTTTTGAATATATATATATATATATATATAAACTAATAATTAGCCATGATCAGCCTCTTTGCCCGACCCATCTACAAGAGCCCGTTTACTTCTATCTCTGTAGCCCAGCCCAGAAACTGTCGCTCGATTCTGCACCACGTTCTTCAAACCCCGCTTTAAGGCCCTCAGCTCCTCCTCCTCTTCACCGCCAGCCCCCGCCCATTCCATCACCACAACGTTCTTGGTACGGCCACCTACCGTCATCATCTCGGCGCGCACCGCCTTCGCCTGAACCATCCCTATCGCCCGGGTCAAGTCCCGAGTGAGACCCGGTCTGTCCTCGCAACACACCGTCGCCTTCACCAGCTTCCCTTCTTCACCGCAGTAACTCAGAGTCGCCTCGTCGAATTCTGCCGGAAACGGCCAGGACCCCGTGCTGCCGCTGCAGCAACCGTCAGCATCCTGTCTCGCTATCTCATCCACTTGCCTCCTCAGCTCCTTGACGTGACGGACCACCTCTGCCAGCAATGACGCCTTATCTGTCTGTCATCACCAGCATCAGCATGCAATCACTTCAACACTACTACCCAAAAAAACAAGAAAACAAAAACAAGAATTCTAATTTGATAAAACCTTGACAGTGTCGGGGAGGAGAGAACGGAGGGTGGAGAGGTGGGCGTTGATACGCTGCCGGCGTCTCCTCTCTGCTTCCTTGTGACTACACGCCTCTTTCGATTTCGACTCCGAGCTCTTGATGGAATCATCACCACCGGATTCCTGAATCACAACGTTCTGATTTGGATTTACCCAGTAGCTTTGCGATGGAAGCATTTCCCTTACAATCAAAATCAATAACGTTGTACTGTCGAATGTAAGAGAGGGTTTAGAAGAATCTAAGTTGGTGAAAAGGGGAGAATGGCTTTGGTGGGATTAAAAAGCAAGGGAATGAAGCAAGAACTGTAGTTAGCAAGTACTAAGAGAAGAGAGACGATGGGATAGTGCACAGTGTTACTGCTGATTAGGACAAGTAATGAAAAGTGAATCGAGATCCGAGGAGGAAGACAAGGGAACAAAACCAAGGGATATAAATGTCTGGTAATAAAAAGATCAAACGGAGAGATTTACACTACGGCTTAAAAGTTAATATTTGCATGAAAAGGACAGCTGTTTTGAGTGGGTTTGCCGTGGGAGACTGAGGAGAGGCGGTACAATGATTTTTCAAAGCCGAGGGTATTGTATTTTCCAACAGCGCCACCTACAGGTTCTGTGAGAAAGGGAGAGTTAGTGATGAGATGTAGCTGTTAGAAGGAACAAACAATTGCAGTTGGATAATTGTTTTAACTTGTTTATAATCACTATTGAGGATTTAGAGTTTTAGATTTCGAAACACTGTAAAACACGAGTTATGAAGTGAGAGGAAACCTTCGTATGATAATTTATGTACCCTAGAGATCAATATTCTAAAGTTGGGGTTTAGAGAAAATTGATTAAAGAAAGGGATGGTGATGGAACCAACAAATCAACCAAAGCTCAGACAAGGTTCGAGAATGTGCATATACCACGAAATGGGACAAAGACAAACCCATTTTTTCGTCGGCAGCAAGAAAAAAGTGAGAACATGAGGGAATTTGGAAGGTGAGACAGTCTTTATATATAATACGCATGTGAGTATGTAGGGTGGACCCTAACCAAGATTCTGTACAGTGTAGAACATGAAAGGTGAGACATCATCCCGTGATCCGACAACATTGGCAACCTGAGCCTTTGAAGAAGACATTTCCTCCCTGCAATTGGCATGTTTATAGGCTTTAGTAATCCCTACGCTCCTTGCTTCTCTGAATCAATGCATAAAAGCAGCATGCACGCTTTCTTCCCCCACCTCACCTGGGCGGGCCCCTACCTTCTTTAAACACAATCGACATGTAATCAGATTCAATTTCAGTAGAAAACTCATTGTTCTTCAAAACCTTTTAGCTTTGGAACATTTTGGAATGCATAATGATTCACTGCCCATCTAGTTTTTGGAGTTCAATTCTCAGTTAAAACTCAGAAAAATTTCTCCTCTCTCCAATTGTCAATGTAAATTTTAACTTATTTTGAGATATAAAGTGTTTTTTACCTTGATTACATAATAAAAATAATTTTTTTAACTTTTATTTTACTTTATTAATATATCGTGTAATTTAGAATCAAATATTTTTATTTGTAGTCGAAGAAGATGCATATCAAGTGTTGATTTACTTAAGTTTTAACTTCCACCTAGAGCGAGACAAGGCACCGCTAGTTAATTACGCTAGTCTATCATGCAAAATCATTTCAGAAAACTTTTGGTTGTTCACTTGATTAGTCATTTTCAAATAGTAAAGTACATTCATTATTAAAAAATGTTGCCAATCATTTACCCTTTTTAAGCTTGAGAGGTTTTTTTTTTTTTTTATAGGTTTCGAAACAGTCTTCGTCGTGTTAGACAGGGTTTCAAGTGGGCAAAAACCAATATTTAACTTTTTATTTTATAAAATTAATAGATTTTAATTACATTTTTAACTTTTTATTTTATAAAATTGATAAATTTTAACCTTTCACTTTATAAAGTTGATAAGTTTTAACCATTTACTTTATGTTATGACATTTTTAACCCATCACCTATACGAATTGAAAAAAATAACCTTCATCTAATATTAAGTTATAACGTTATGTTAGTTAACTATTAACATCCGTTAGTATTTCATTATAAAAAATATGAAATTTAAATTTATTTTTATTTGTTAGTTCTATTAACGAAATGCTAATGAATACTAATAGTAAACTAACAGAATTAACAATCAACTAACAAAACAGATAGTCAATTAATAGAAGTAACAGAACATTACAACTTAATGATAAGTGAAAGTTATTTTTTTCAATTCGTACATATAAGGGGTTAAAAATATTATAGTATAAGGTGAGAGTTTAATACCTACCAACTTTATAAGATAAAAAGTTAAAAGTATTACATTATTTTAAAAGTTACAACCTATAAATTTTGTAAGGTAAGAGATTAAAAGTTGATTTTAACCGCTTGTATGAGTGCAAATCTCGACACTAACAGGTTTTGATGTGAACATCTATCTAAGTACTTAAATTTCAAATACTTTCTCCAGGTTTGATTTTAAACCAACCCGAACATGTCTTTTTGATTACGGATGGTATATACAGAATTTTGTGGGAATAGGTTCAAATTGGATCTTGAGGTGATCACAGAGGAATTTGGAAGATAAAAACTGGTGATCAAGAGCATGCAGAAAACCAGCAAGAATGTCATTGAAAAGGATTGGAGCAGGAGAGCTAATGGAAAAGTTAAAATCTAACATTGTGCAACAGATACAATACTGTAAGATACATAACTGAGACACAAAACAGTGGACTCATACCATTTTGTTGGACTAAACATTCTTTAAAAGGAAAACTTAGTTAAACATGGCCACTCTTGTGAAATGGAGATCCAGCAGGTGCAATGAGAGCAAGACGTTGCATCACTCTCATTCTTCGAGCACTACGAGCTGCCGATTTTCTGGCAGAATTTGCTTCCTGAAGGTTATGATTCACTTAACAAGTTAACTAGTCGGATCACTAGGGTAGAGAGATATAAAGCTTTATAACTTAAAAAGGAAATTGGAGGATGAGAATGGAGATAAAAACTCACATGAGTTGGGCTCTTGAGTCGCTGTTGTTTCCATGACTTATCTGGTTTAGGGGTTCTGTCTGTGTCTTCTGAAATCGAACCATATAGGTTCCTCTTTCTCTGCATGTCATCCTGCCTAGGAGTTTTACTCTTTTTCCCATCCTTGGCATTCACATTTCTTGGCTTTGTTTTTCTCTGCACTCCATCTTGTTTGGAAGATTTGCCACCTTTTTCCTCATTTGCAATTTTATGTTTTGGCGTAATTTTTCTCTGTACCTTATCACCATCATAAGGTGATGTAAATGAGAATCAAAATAACAACTTTAGGAACAAATGCCAGATTTTTTTTTTCTTTTTTTTTTTCTTTTCCTTCCTGGTGCAGAACGCCAGAATTTTTTAAAGATAAATAAACACAGCTTGAGAATGCTTAACCATCCAAACTTACAAGACTTGAGGCATTTTCCTGATTTCTCTTGACTTGATTTTGATTTGAGTTTCTCTTGTCTTTAGCAGCAACTAGTCTTTTATTTCCTGGCCCTGGATGTAAAATTTCAATGTCAATCTCTATATGGCATGAACAATTGGAAAATTCTTTTAAGAAATTGCTATCATATTAAAGTTCAACAAAGATGAGATGCAGCAATATCTTCCAAAATCAAATACAAACAAGAACTGATCCCACAAATGAAGTCATGAAGAAAAAACAAGATTTGAAAAGAGAGGGGTTTAATAAAGAAGACTAACCCATAGATTTAGATTCTTGCCCCTTTGATCGACAAGATTTTGGATGAGAAGAGTCCTATGACCATTCCAAAATATAAGCATTTGTGACAATTTGGCAAATTATGCCATTCTAACAACCTTTAAAAGCATAATCATCGAGAAGAGGGGTTGTCTGACCAGGTTGCAAAGGACTGAAAAGGATGGAAGATGGTTTGGGGGAAAGAGACAAAGAAGAGAAGAAGCTTTCTTTTACCTGTTTCAAAGCTTCCTCAAGAATTTTCTTGAAATCGCCACTATTCTGCTCAATAGTCTGAGGGTTAAATCAAAGCTACCCAACATTAAACATTTAATCTAATGCAGATAATTGGTTTATCCACAAAGACAATGCTTTGAGATTAAAAGCTTACCATCTTAAACTCAGAAAAGCATTTAATAGGATCTGCATACAAGCTGCATGAGACATATAACATGTATATTTGAGAAATCTTTAGACCATGTACTGAGAACCACTTTTTCCTCAATATTCCTACTCTAAGCATCAAAGATAGAAGAACTCACTAATTATAGCTCCCATACAGTCTGACTAGAATCTCCCCCTCTGCTTTATTCCCCGGTTTACTGCTCCAACTAACACTCTTCTCATCAACAACCTGACAAGTATTTAAGTAAATGAACACACAAATCAAGTACATTATTAGACAGAATCCCATGGGAGAATAATGGTTAATCAGTTGGTGTTGAATACCTGTGCTGGCCACCATGCTTTGCCATGGAGTTTGACCCATATCAAATCCCCTAGTGCGACCTCTTTCAACCTCACAGCTGCGGATTCTTCCTCACCATCATTGCTATCACAAAGGATATTACTTGCAGCATTGGTACCTTTCATAGCTTGCCTCTTGTGATTTATATAATCTAGTTTCAAAAGCAAGTATATCTAAAAGACACAATGCATCATTAATCTACCGTGACAACGAAATCACACAATTCTTATATTTTTCATTTCTTTTTCCGGGTTCAAGCTGATTCCTCACAAGTTCTCTTAAAAATGTACCAAGGACGTCACAAAAATACGTTATGCATCACTTCCATGTAACAAATGACAACTATAAACAAGTGTCTAAGAGAAAAACTCAATGCAATGAAAGTAAATCCATTTTCAAATTCCATCCACATTAACATTATCGTGGTTCAGAAACAACTTGCAGAAAATAAGAACTAATCTTGGCCAGAGCCTGTATTACTGAATATTATATTTCCTTTTGACTGAATACCATTAACTTTAGCCTCAAACCCACTTGATTTCGGCTAAAATCCTCTCTGAAAACATACCCCAACCTTACATTTCCTTTGATCACTACTTCATTAGGAAAATAGAGAAAAGTGAAAGGAAAGAAGATTACTTTTCTAATTTCTTTGCCTAGTTCAGTTCAAGGTTAGTTCTTCTACCCATCAACACCAAGCAGCCTTAAGAGTAAGTAATGCAGATTTCATAAAGGGGAAAGACTAACCTGAACCCATGATTCCTTTCCTTTTCATATATTTTCCAGGCAACCAAACAGATAGAAAAAGAACATACAAATATGAAAAGTAGGAGGTACTTACAGTTCACATCAGAGAGCTGGAGGGTCAGATAGAAATGAGAAAAAGTTGAATGGACGGGAAGCAGATTGATCGGAGGGGAAATGGGGTGTTGATGTAAGAGAAGGGACAGACAAACATAGCGTCTTGAGAGGCGGACCCTACACTGCAGCTTTGTTGGACAGCTGCACCTGAGTGGTTTGCTGACGTGAACACCGCTTCTGCATTTACACGTTGCCAATTGCAGTGTTTAATATTTAATGAGCTCCTAAATCGGGACTTAATTTAATAAATAATTTGGTAATTTTTATTTTTTTTAATTAATTTTAGATATTTTTAGATTTATTTATTATTTATTATTTTTATTTTAATTTAATATTGTTAATTTTTTAATTGTGATTTTACTTAATTTAATCAAATTAATCTTTAATTATATTTTTTTTATAAATTTTTATTTTATAAAATTAATTATAAGATAAAACTAATTTTATAAAAATAATAAGTTCATTTTTAGTATTTAGAAAATTGTAATTTTTATTATATATTATTTTAATTTTCTCTTTTGATAATTTTTTAAAGCAAAAATTATAATTATTTATATATTTTAATAACTTACATAGTTTATCATGAATTATTTTATTAATTGAAATTATTCTATTTTAATTTTATTTAACTTTTATGTTATGTTTTATTAAAACTAATAAAAATTTTACACAATAAATTATTTTAAAATATTTTATAAAATTTATAAATCATTTAAAAAAAAACAACCTTTCTAAATGTACTTGCGGCTTAACCGCGATGGAAGTGCACCATCATTTTTGGCTTCTTTGTCAAGCGTTTAAGTTGCCAGTGCAGTAATAGTGTAACTATTCTCCTATCTCCCTATTTCTCACTGGTAAAAAAAAAAAAAAAAAACAACCTTTCTAAATTAAAATGCAATTAAGTTAATAATTAATCCACTAATAATTGAATTAAGCCCCTAAGTTGTGCACCCTGACTAACATCAGTGTCCTGACTTTTTAGAGTAAATTTCATTTTGATCCATCTAACTTTAAAAGGTCACAATTAGATACCAACAATTTCATAAGTTATTAGTCTCAAGTCTCAACTCAACTCTCCACAATGAATTGAAGACTTCGGATTTAAGCAGTCCTTAAACCGCTGTGACTTTAGGGAGCATGTCAAACAACAAAAATCTCGGTAGATGTTGGAAATGTTTTTATATTATGGGTGCTTTACTTAAGGAGAATTTTTTTTTC